AAATATTTTTAATGAATGTCTTAGTTTCTTATGTTCAAAATTGACAATTTTTTATTTAATTAAATGAATTTCATAATTTTTTCAGTCCTTTAATGAAATAAAATATTTTTAATTTTATTATTTTTTTAAAAAAAATTTAACATATTTTCTTTAATTATGCATAATTCTTAAATATAAAAGTTTCATAAATAAAATTTAATATTTTGAGAGGGAACAATTTGTCACAAATTTTTTCACAAAATATTTTAACCTATTTGTGACAGAATTTTGACAGGGAACAATCCGTCACTAAATTTTTTCATTTTAGTGACGAAATTTGTGACGGATTTTTTAGAGACGAAGTTCATTCCGTCACAAACATTTTTTTTTATTTAGTGATGAAATTTGTGACGGATTTTTAGAGACGAAAATTTTTTCGTCACAAAATCCGTCACAAATATTTTTTTTTTGATTCAGTGACGAAATTTGTGACGGATTTTTAGAGACGGAATATATTCCGTCACAAAATCCGTCACAAAAGTCAACAAATTCTTGTCCGTCACAAAACTTAAAATTCCTTCACAAAATGCGTCACTATTAGCGATGCTATTTTTTCTGTCACAAAATTCATCACAAATATTAATTTTTCTAGTAGTGAAAAAGGAATGGAGGGAAATATTAAAGAGAATGAGAATGGAGGGGAATATAAAAGATTTCTGACGATACTTTTAAAATCGGTTATTTAAGAACCGATTTTGTATACTACATACAAAATCGGTTCTGAAATAACTGATTTTAAAAGTAGCACTTTTAAAATCGGTTCCTAAATAACTGATTTTAAAAGTGATACTTTTAAAATCGATCATAAAATAACTGATCTTAAAAGTACTTTTAAGATCGGTTATTTTATAACCGATCTTAAAAGTGCCAGTTTTAAGATCGGTTCATTTGTAACCGATCTTAAAAGTACTTTTAAGATCGGTTATTTTATGACCGATCTTAAAAGTGCCACTTTTAAGATCGATTCTTTTGTAACCGATCTTAAAAGTACTTTTAAGATCGGTTAAATTTTAACCGATCTTAAAAGTGTTCATGTTATTTACAAAATTGCTACCGCGTCACTTTTAAGATCAGTTACCTTGTAACCGATCTTAAAATTCCAATTTTAAATCCAATTTTCGCACTAGAGAGAGAGAGAGAGAGAGAAAGAGAGCAAGAGAGAGAGAGAGTGAAGGAATCAAATAACTTACAAAATAACTATTGGTAAAGTTATTCTGCTCATTAACTCATGGTGTGTGCTGAATTTCATCGATTCAATTGTTAAATTAAAAGTTATTAGATTTTACTAATAATTAATATAAAAAAATTAATTAGCTTTGGAATAAATTATTTGCTAATTAACAATATAATTAAAACATTAATTATTTTAACTTATTTAACATAAATCTTATTGATAATTTACTATATGATCTTAATATTTTTGTATAACTAATATCTGGTTTTAAATTTGATGTGAAAATATTATGGTATAATTAGATAAGATTTTAAGTTAGTATTTTATTAATGGTTGATATTAGAAAATAGAACAAGGATAAATACATTTTTTTGAATTTTATATCTTTGATTTAAGATAAATAAATATATTAAATTATTTAATAATTTATTTAAAATGTTTAAAATAACTATGTAATAAATAAATATTTATAATT